CAAAAATGGAGACATCCCAGCCCCACATCTGCTACATAGGAAAGTTGATTGAGGAAGAGAACAGGACAGTGTGGGGAGGGATCTTGGTGGTCAGGGATGTGCTCTTCTCTGCATTTCCTCAGTGATGATGATAGGAACACAGACACATAGACACAGTTAGATGCCAGCTACACAGAGAAGTTAGAACCTCTTGAAATCTCAGTAGGGAGCAGGAATGAACTAAAGAAATCCTGTGTTGCTCAGTCCCACAGAAGGCAGCTGTCTCACACTGTAAAAGAAAGTATTATGAACAGATTCAGATCGCTCATTGTAATGGAGGCCCTCTGAACAACCCATTAAACACTCAAAATGTCACAAATCCCTGAGAAAGTCCCTGTAACCCAGGGGTCTCTCCATTCCCCAACCCCTCTCCCTCTTCAGAGTCTCACCTTTCTCAGCAGTGAGAGACACATCAGAGCCCTGGGCACTGTCATTACCTGAGCAGGAAAAACAAAACACAAAAAACAAAAAACCCAAACCTGGTCAGAGTCCACAGGAGATGTGGGTAATAGAGGAATTATGGGTGGATCAGCTCCCCCATGGCTCCCCACTAGACTATTCCTAGGGTCTCAGGGATCAGTGTTCTTCATACTTACAGGCAGCTGGAGCATAGGGCCCTTTTTTTACACCTGAGGGAAGAAAGCATTCGGTGAGGGAACAGTTTAAAGACAAGTCTTAGAGGTGCCCCCTAGTGCTGGACACTGGGACAGTCTCCAGTACTGTGGCTGCAGACATAGGGAAGCATCAGGAGACAGGAAGAAAGTAGATATGTAGGGATGGAGCCAATCGCTCTCCTGGAGGTCTGTTCTCATCAGGCAGATTCCCCTCTGGCCTCTAAATGCTGGGAATCAGGTCCCATCACCACAAAAATCAAGAATTGTCCTTTAGATTCTATGCACAAAATGTAAACAGGGTCCAGGTTGGGTAAGGACACATGTAGATTTTACTTCCCATTAACAGGGCAGGGCACACTTCTACCAGGTACTTGAAACCATCAGTGGGTCAAAAATTCAGACCCTGCACTTTCTCTACCTGTGTTTCTCTTCTTCCACAAGTCAAAACAGACCACAGCTACAATGA